AACAGGTAAGGAAACCTTACTTTGTGACACATCTACAGGTAGGGATCGCCCAATCGTCCCGAAACATTATCGACGCAATGTCTTCAACACATTGCACAAACTTTCTCATCCAGATGTTCGTGCAACCATCAAGCTCATAGCAGAACGATTTTGCTGGCCTGGTATGAATAAAGACGTGAGGGAGTGGGCACGCTCCTGTGTAAGCTGCCAAAAATCTAAGGTCATCAGACACTATAAATGTCCCTCAGTCTCATTTAAAACTCCCGATGCTCGTTTCGACCATGTTCATCTGGATTTGGTAGGACCTTTACCAGATTCAAATGGATACTTTTACCTCTTAACCTGTGTAGATCGTTTCACTCGATGGCCAGAAGCAGCATCTATCAAGGACATCACTGCTGAAACAGTGGCCCGAACCTTTGTCGAACGATGGGTAGAAAACTTCGGTTGCCCTTCATCCATCACTACAGACCGCGGACGTCAGTTTGAGTCTGAACTTTTCCGTCGTCTGACCACACTATTAGGAAGCACTCGCTTCCGAACGACCGCCTACCACCCACAAGCAAACGGGTTGGTAGAACGTTTTCACCGACAACTAAAAGCTTCACTATCAGCTGCAAACGTTTCACAGCGGACCGACGCTTTTCCACTCGTCTTACTAGGTATCCGCAATGCAGTGAAAGCTGACATTGGATACACTGCAGCTCAACTCGTTTATGGAACGACACTTCGACTTCCAGGAGAATTCGTGGATCCTTCATCCTCTTCAATGAACATGGATCTAACCTCCTACACGAACAGGCTTACAAACGCAATGCGTTCAGTTAAACCTGCTTCCACTCGACCACAATCAACCGATGTTTTCGTTCAAGCTGACTTACGACATAGTACACACGTTTTCGTTCGTCGAGACTCGCATCGACGAATCAGCATACGAAGGACCTTTCAAAGTTCTTCAACGCAAACCGAAGTACTATATAATCGATAAGAACGGAATCAACGATAGCATCAGCATCGATCGCCTCAAAGCAGCGTATTTAGAAGGAAATGCTATCTACGTGGATTTTCCTTCAGCACAATCGAACGACACGACTCCGACACTTATAATACCTCATCCGACAACCAACACACACGATGATACTTCGACAGTATCCGAAAATAAACTTAAAACGACGCGTTCTGGAAGAAGAGTAAGATTTCCTGAACATTTAAACGACTATTGCATATAAGGCACTTCTCGACATTTTATATTATCTCGATCTTTCTTTTTACGATATATATTATTTTTTTTGAATTTTTTAATATGCTCATATATTTTTATTTTAAAAAAAAACAAAAAAACAATTTTTTTAACGTTATTACGTGTTCATGAGTTTATTTTCCATCTTTTTTTCCGCCGACATTGTGTTTTTTACTTACATGCCAGTGTATTTCGACATGCACTTAAATTTTCTTTTTTGTTTTCCAGGACGGCTGGAAAAGAGCGATGCAGTTTACGAAGAATCGAAAATGTTCAATGTACTTTTCCTATTTTACTATGTTGTACCTCGGTCCCATATAGTAAGGAAAGACGACCAGACGCTGTTAAATTTAGTAAGCTATCAGAAGAGTGTTTACCAACGACAAACTCGTTGGGTTTAAACTTCTGGCTGGCCACGTCTTAGGGTCATCACTGCCCCACTAGGGGGGGAGTGATCTGTAGCGGTAAATAAATCCCTAAACTAAATAGCTCTGTAAGTTTTCGACATTGGATGCTAACCATATGTTTTAGTGGACTCATCTAGCTGAAGGCGCTCGGTCAGGCATCCGCACCAGATCACAAGTGGTAACGCTGTGCTCAACATCTACCGCAATCGCTAGCCAGATTAGATCAGAGAATTCCGATATATTGGTTATCGCCAAATACACTCTTCCGATCTCCTCGACTCTGTCTTTTGATTTCTCTCGGTGGGAACAAAGTATATTAGGTGTTACTGGTAGAAGCCTTGTCAAACACTGAATAACTGTTTCATCCTCAATATGATTCAAGACTAGTTGTTGTAAGAGATGGTCAGTGTGACGTGCTAAAACGTGATCTGGTGTGAGTGATTGACCAAGTGCCTTCAGCCAAGATGTGTCCAGCAGAACCAATAAGATCGGAATCAATGTTCAAGGCTTAGAGCTATTAATTTCTGGGGTTTCATTTACCGCTACTGAATTAATATGGTTCTCTTGATCCCCTATCATTAGGTTATTAATAATAAAGAATAAAGAATCATTGATATTAAAACCGCTTATCCTAAATATCTTCAATTATTAATCTCACTGAGTATTTCCCATGAAAGATTCTTACAGATACTCGAAAACTGTTATTCAGATCTCATAAATCGTCCACTTATTTTGAGATTTGAATATTTTGGAGCGCGTCAGACAACAGTTGCGTTTTGTTGCCAGCGCAAATGTTTTGTGTCGGTATTCCGTGGTTTGATATCCATACATTTGAATATCACCGATTTTAGTATGATCCCTTCAACGTGGGATGAGCTTAGAATACAAGCTCGAATACTGGAGAGCGAGATTGATTCAAAGTTAGCTGCTTTTGGTAAAATTGGAACTCGACCAGTAGAACACAAACACATTCCTCGTTTTACCAATTCTGGAATAATCAGTAAAAGCAATGTAGTCCCAGAAGTACCTTCACATTTAAATTTCGACACAAACTTCAACGTAATGTGCAATGAAATAGAAGAACAACTACAGAGGTGAGTCGAAGTATCTAGGAATGCACTCATCCCCAGTAATAATTATACTAAATTAACCTTTTTAATATCCACATTAGGGGATTTTTCACAGATCCGTGTCATTCTCTGAGGGCATAGAAGTATTTTTTTGTTCTACAGCGTGGAAGGTATGATGTTATCCCCAATTGTAAGGTCGTGATAAGGAAAATTCGCGACTCAATCGAATAGTAAAACTCTTTAAATTATCTCATCTTGATTCTTGGGATTTATGAGTATATCTTATCACAAATCAGTTTTATATGCAAGTAAGACATTCATACAAAGTCATATAACTTCTATACTGAACAATACTGTTGGATAAGCTAGTATTAGGACGGAAAAATGATTTACCATTTCAAACCCACAGTACATGCTGTGCGTTTAAAACAAGTACTCATTAATTAGATCTCACGTCCCAAATGTAATCTAGTATGTCGTATACAACAAATTAATTTGGATCCAAGTTTTAAACTACAAAATATCCATAAGCAATTGTCATCCTACAGTTAACTGAGGTTTTGAAGCAGTTACTTACTATGACCTTTGAATCCTTACAGTTGTAACATTAGGTAAACACATTTCATTTATAATCTGGTGATTTAAATCGTCACAAATACTTGGATTACGATTATATTATTGGAATTTACTTTAACGATTATCAGCTTATTCACTTGCATCTAATCCCATCTTATTACCATTTTCCATTGACTCAGTCCTTCCAATCTTTTTAAAATTCCAGTCGGTTTAGTGACATGAAGCAACATTCCCAGTGTGGGAATCATATCAGGTTGAGCTGGTATAGTCTACGGATGGATATCTTCAGGACTACCGAACTTGTCTGGTTCGTGATGTTGGAGTAGTGAGACAACCTTTTTACGTATACGGAATCCACCATAATTATGCCGGCATTGCAGATATCGCCTTTTTTCCACTATCACTAACGGAAAGTAGTTTACCAAAATACCATCGTAAACAACCTTGTTAGCTTCTTTGTTTCCGATTTCTAGACCATCTTAAAGCAAAAGTGGTAAGATACCATCACATCCCTGGGTCTTTCTTTCAGTGTGGAAATACATACTTCTGGGGCTATCCTGTGTATCGTGAATTGATTGCCTCCCAGAATAATCCAGTTTTAGATGTCAGCGCTTTTTTTTCTTTTTTCCTTCTCTTTAAATTCTCATGGTTTTGTGTGGCGCATGTATATTTGGCGCACTCTTGTACCAATATGTGTGTTCAAATAAAATAAAATAGTCATACATTAACTTGATGTGAATTGTCCAAAGGCAGTTAGCAACCGATGGTTAGTGACCTTGAATGACATGGTTCAAAATCCTTTGCCATGGCTCATGTACATTCACTCTTTGTGTTCTCCCGAATTCTAATCTTCTAAATTATTCATGTCGCTTTTTTTCTCTTCCCAAATTTATTTCACTGGATTATACTCCTTAAATAACATCTTCAAACTCTAATGTTTCTGATTACTGCTTATACTCTTACTACCTCTACTACTATGGGATTTGAATCGTCAATCCGAGTTGATGTACATACGTACGAATTTCTACGTTGTTGCCTGACTGAAAGGCAGTTTGCGAAGTATCTCCCTTTGTCTAGGATGTTTTGTGACCTATTTATCCATGAAACGTAGTTACTACGTCTACATGAGGTTATCCACAGCATGAGGGAGGTAGCGACGTTTCGAAAGCTGCTTTTAAACTTGAGTTATGCCTTTCTTTAGAAGCTTTGGTATCCAATAACTAGCCAATTGATAAAACACTATCTAAGAATAGCCCATAGTTCTAACAAAATTATCTGGGTGTTCATTTTTAAGTGAAGCTAATGTGATATGTTTTAAAGCGATCGATCATTATTTGAACACATAAATTTTGGTACAAAGTGGCACCGAATACATATGCGCCACACAAGTCACTTGATTTGTGTGTGGGCTGTAATGCTGCCCAGACCGAAGCAGGTGATTTTCTTAGGAGGCCACACCCGGAGCCCTCGACCTAAAGGTCTGATCCACAAGACAGTGGAGCAACTTCAGGAGATGCAGTCACATAGCAGCCGGCGACCAATAACTGGTTCATACGCCATTCGTTCCCTCAGGATCCTGGAGCCACTTCGTTGGTCATTGAAAAGTAAGGTAAGATTGGCGCAGACCAGGGCATAATCAGAGTCCGGATAGGTACTCCAAAAGGAGCGGCAGTCTTGTACACAACCACGCCAGTGGTAGCTGATCGCGATCTGATTAATCTGAGTCCAGGCTTGAGGTGCAGAGGGAGGACGCCAGGTGGCACATCGGCGATGACTGTGCCGAAAGTTAGTGCTAGCCAGAAACAGGTTGTGGTCTGTGCAAAGTTGCAGTAGACGGTCCCCGTTATCTGACCTGCGACCAACGAGTCCCCATCGGCCACCTAAACGACTCTCTTCTGTGCCTAGACGCCCGACCTGAGCATTCATTCTCCGGCTAGTACTACAATATCTATCGAACGCACTTTCTGGAGAAGAACAGTGAACTGGTGGTAGAATTCATCCTTGATTGCATCCGGGCTGCAGTCTGTCGAGGCATAGGCGGAGATGACGAAAAGACATCGTTTCTCACGCCGATTTCTTCTCACTTTGATGGAACTTTCTAATCTAACAGCACATAACCGACTGTTAATGGGGATCCAGTCGACTAGTGCTGCCCCAGCTCTAGCGCTTAGTGCAACACCAACGCCAGCAAGACCAGATGAAGATGCCACAGGGTCCCCGGATAAGCGCACGTAAAACAAGCTTTTCGAAGCGACAGATGGAGATCGAATTTGTAGTACTTCGCCAGAGTCTTGAATACGGGTCTCAGATAGACAACAAACATCAATATTAAGACTTTCCAAAGACATAGCCAGTCCTATCTGTTGTCCGACCTGCACTAGTGTGCGAACGTTGAAGGCAGCCAGTTTGAATGGTGCACGTGGTTTCAGGCAAACTGCCTCAGTATTCATATTTGGTGGTAGCACACAACTTTAAACCAGACATTGACTCGAAAACGTTTAGATAGAACCGAGTTTCCACCATAGGCGAGCTGCTGTGTAAGTCGAAAAATAAGGATATATAAAGTGGAAATAAAAGAGTGAATAAGTGACGTGGTAAATAATAATAATAATGTGAATTGTTTGACTGTTAATCGAAACGTGAATAGAATTTTCAGTAAATATCGTCATTTTCATTTCATTTGTGTGTGAGCCGTGATATTGCCCGGGTGCCCAGACCGAAGCAGGTGGTTTTCTTAGGAGGTCACACCCCAAGCATTTGACCTAAAGGTCTGACCCACAAGGCAGTGGAGCATCGTGAGGAGATTCAGTCCCGTGGTAGCCGGTGACCAACGATCGGTTCATACGCCATTTGTTCCTTCAGGATACTGGAGCCCATGTGCACCATTGGTTTGGGATCCGGTTAAAGTGCCGGACATTCTCTTTTCCTCCTCTCATTTTCGTAAACAACACCCCCACCACGAGAAGACAGTGAGTAGGACTTCCCTGGCAGAGGCTATATACGCATGACTGTGAGAGCATTTCGAAAGGGAGGACGCGCCCACCCCACTCAGCCATACCAGGGCCATATTAAAATTTCATCTAGGGTCTCAACGTCTAAGGCATATCATTTAGTGAAGAACTGTAATCGAAGCTTTTGTCTTTAATTGGGATAATGGTTCACTTAAATTCACCTTCGAAAAGTGAGATGTTTTAGCCTGGTAATCGTTCAATCTGTTCTCACTGCCTCTATCGAACATAAACAGCGTAAGAACATCAAACGTATTCTATTATAAGCGTTTCTGAAGCTCTTTTCATTTTTTTATAGTAATAAGTGAAATATGTTCGAATTAGAAATAGTCTCGTGTTATTGAATTAAATTAATCGCTAAATTTAATGACCTATACTGGACAAGATTATCCGGACGGGTGCTACTCAGAAGGATGATAGACTTATTAAGTACTCCTTTTCTCATAAATTTTGGTTATGTTCATGTATGGAAGAGTATCACTAATGAGCTTGCTAGCAAACACATGTATGCTCCTAAATATTGGTAAACCGGTCAGATTTAAAACCTTTCTAGTTTCCAATAACTTTAAGAACCAACGATCAAAGCATTCTGCGATCGCCCATTAAGTGAATTAAAACTAAAGGAAGATTTATTATTGTACAACTTAAGTGTTATTGGATTCCCCTTTTTTGATACCAAGCACACAGCAATCTTAATTAATACGAATGATTTTCTAAATATCTTTCAGTTTATAAGTACAAAGAAATTCCAGTTAGCAGGTTTATCCATAATCCAGTAATTTTTATTACTGATCAACTTCAGAGGGACTACTGAAACTTGGAAAACAGTTTGTGCCAAGTATTTTTTAGTTTAAGACTCATCCTCAGTAAATAGAAACCAATTACCGTTTTTTCATTCATATTTCGTTTAAATCTATTTAAACGTTCTCACTAGGGATATTATTTTCACAGACACATTATCTAACATACCTTGTAATTTTTACCTCGTTAATCTACAGACTTACTCAAATTAATGAACGGATGGCAACTTTTGTCCCTGAAACAGAAACTACACCTACCTCTTTTGATAGTACTACACGAAACCCACTAAATTCTACTAATATGGCAGCTGGAAGACTTAGTCAACTGCATACAGCTAAACGACATCGTGAAATTCTTCGTGATTATTCTCAGGAGTTTCGTCAAACTAAAGCCAAACTCATTGCTGCACGTGAACGTGAAAACCTTCTAGGATCTGTAAGTAATTTTTTGTTATTTTGAGGGTTTTTCTTGAATGTATGCATGGGAAATTACAAGTCATCGCTTTAGTACTGATGTCCTTTGAACTTGAGACATATGCTCTTGAAGGGGCCTGGTGATACACCTCAAAATCACTTGTATTGAAACGTGTTCACTGTTCGTGCTTACTTAAATATTTCACATCTGACTACTCGATCAGCTTCTTTTTGTTAATTTCCACTTATTTATGTTATCGTTAAGTGTAGCAGTTTAATTTGATAAACGTACCGGACGAGGCTGTACGTTGCTCGTCTGTCTAATGTAAATTCTTATGAAATCATCTTGCGTTGCTTAACTAATGTCAGATATTATTCGGTAACCTCAGTTACCCCTAATTATTCGCTAACTATCCACTCGCAACTTAAATACAAGAATCTGATATTTTTTAAATATATTTCGTCAACCAATTTAAAGCTATGCAGAGTTACTGAATCAGCTTCGAATCCTTCTAAGATTATGAATCGCTTGTATCAAATAGTATCCATCATGGCCTTTCATTTTCTTTCACTGTCTCTTCTTAGTGACTAAACAGTCTCACAGCCCACATGCAATAATCATCTCCAATCAACAAAACGGAGATTATAATTTGTGGATATTTCCCTTAAAAATAGTCTGTTGTCTATCTGCTTTCATTGGTTTCCAATACACAGTTGTGTTTGGTAGAATTATTAGCAAGATTCACCATTTGTACTCTTTGAGTGACATTGCAAAAATGTTTGGGTAAGCTCTCGACACAAGTATTAAATATTAAATCCAACTCAGTACTAGTTTGCGTACTTGTATTCAAGCCATAACATTCGAGAACGGTTAATGATACGAAACAGCCTTCCAAATCAATCTAGGTAAAGTGTATTCAGGACTAATACTCAGTAGTTGAATGCTGAACATTCTAACTACTGTGCATAAAATTCTGGTTTCGATATGCGTCTCTTCCACTTTAGCTTCCGTAATATACACTGTCGCTGTTATAAGAGTAGTAAGCGCAATTAAGGCTATGTTATTGTAGGGTAGTCAATCCGTGAGTCCTGAGATGACACATTTGTCATTATAAAACAAGATGTTTTAGACGAACTCTTTCAACGTGTCAACAGCATCTATGACAAAATCGAATTCACTAAAGAGTTGGAATCTCCTGAACACAAATTACCTTTTCTAGACTGCTTGGTTGAAAGGAATTATAATGAGTGTTTAAAAATTAGTATTTTTCGGATTTCTAGATTTTAAGTCTGCGCATCCACACTCTACCAAAGTGACAGTGGTCAAAAATTTGATCACCAGAGTCAAAAAACTTGTCACTGAACCAAATGATATAAAAATGGAAATGAATTTAATTGTATCCACGCTAATGATGAATGATTATCCAAAGGGTTTTATTAAAAGAATAATTAGGAATGAAGAACAAAATGATATTAAAAAAAGAGTTAAGCATAAAGAATGGATTAACACAATTGTGATCCCATACCGTAAAGGTATTTCAGAAGAGATCAGAAGGATTCTAACTCTTCAAAATATAAGGGTATTCTTTCGAACATTTATTTATTCATTTATTTATTTATTTGAACACATAAATATTGGTACAAGAGAGTGCCAATATATATGCGCCACACAAAACAATGAAAATTCGAAAAGAGATAGAAAAAAAACTAAGGAGCACAAAAGAAAAAGAGGACGATAACGAAGAGATTGGTGTAAGGTAGTGTGGTAGTAACGAGGGAACGGAAAGGTACAATCAGAAGAAATCTTTCAAGTAAGGGAGACACGACCACTTTTTATGAAGAAAGTAAAAGAAGGTTACAGCAGGATCGCCACTGGCTTCTATTCTAAGCCATATCTGATAACGTCTCTAGCCACTGTGTAGCACCATCTCTCAGACCCCAACCAGGGAGTCGTGAAGGACCGACAGAAGTCAGTCCTTTGCAGCTTTCTTTCATACCACGACACCATGTCATGCACTGACCACCTCTCCGCTTTTTCCAACCAGTCCCAGAGTCGGCAAATAATGCACGACGTGGAATTCTCTGGGACGACATTCGTAGAACATGTCCAAGCCACCGAAGTCGGTGTTTCAAGATGGTGACACCAATTGAATTATCATCTCTGTGCCCGAACACACGATGCCGAACCTCTGCATTACTAACATGGTGTTGCCACTGAATGTCAGCGATCCTTCGGAGACAGCGATGATCAAATACAGAGAGTCGTCTAACGTCCTCAACTCGGAGAGGCCAGGTTTCACAAGCATAGAGCAAAACTGCTCTCACCGACACGTTGTAGATCCGACCTTTTACAGCCAGACTAACATCACGAAGGCGCCAAAGGTGGCCCAGATTGGCATAAGTCGCTCTGGCTTTCACTATACGTTCATTGATCTCATCACTCACACCCCCACCAGCACTTATGCAGCTACCCAGATACACGAACTTCTCGACTACTTCTATCTGCTCACCATCCAGGGTGAGTACAGGAATGGAATCCTGCCAGTCTTGTAGAAGTACTTTGCACTTGGAAGGTGCAAAGCACATACCATACCTACGGACACTGATTGCCAACTGATTAAGTGCGGATTGCATGCCTTGGGCATTATCGCACAGTAAGACAATATCGTCCGCATACTCAAGGTCGAGAAGTCTTTCTCCAGGCAACAGATCCACACCACCATTACTTACACTCATCAGAGCTGTTTCCAGAATGTCATCGATCGCAAAGTTGACGAGGAATGGTGAGATTGGGCAACCCTGCCTAACCCCACTACTCGAATGCAACAATGGAGAGAGGTGGTTGTATGCCCTCACTCTGCCTGAGGTGTTTTTATATAGGGCTTTTAGGATGTTAATAAACTTCTCAGGCACACCCTTCTTCAATAGACAATCCCAGAGAACAGTCCTGTCCAACGAATCGAAGGCAGCCCTGATGTCAAGAAACACTACGATTGTTGGCCTTTGATAAGTATGGCGATGTTCTAACATTTGGCGGAGGGTGAATATATGATCAATACATCCTCGACCAGAACGAAACCCAGCCTGCTCCTCGCGAATCAATCTTTCTCGGGTTTTGAACAACCTACGAAGTATGATGGAAGTCAATAGCTTGGATGCAATCGGAAGTAGACTTATCCCCCGATAGTTGTTACAGGAACGACGTGAACCCTTTTTAAAGATAGGGACAACTATCGACTCATTCCATGACGTTGGTACACTCTCTAATTCCCAAACCTTTGTAAACAACGTCGTCAATTCCTTAGTCAAAAAGTCACCACCATCTTTAAAAAGAGCCGGAGGTAAGTCATCTGGGCCAGGTGATTTGTAACGCTTCAAGAGTTGGAGTTCTTTGCGGACTTCCTCCTCGTTTGGTGGATCAGTCGTCACCGGCCATGGAGGGCAGGACAGTCTGACCGATGTTGCTGGAGCAGCAGGCCAGTTGAACTGCCCTTCGAAAAATTCTGCCCATCGTCCAAGACGTCGATGGATGTTAGTGATTGGCATTCCAACATCCTCGCAGATTGTTTCACTCACACCAGACTTCTTGCTGCCAGTGGCTCGGATGAGCTGGAAGAGCTTCCGGTAGTTACCAGATGCAGTTGCTGCTTCCAGCTCATTAGCACGCTCCGACCACCAGGCTTCTCGGTCCTTACGCAAGCTTTGCCCAATTTCCTTACGTAACATCCTTCGTTTATTGTCAAACTCACGGTCACCCGGAGTAGACCGACGGGCTTCAATAAGTTGT